TTTTTTTTTTTAAACAAATGATGCTGGGAAAACTGTACATCCACATTCAAGAGAATGAAATTGGACCCCTATCTCACACCATACACAAAAATTAACTAAAAACAGATCATAGACCTAAATGTAAGAGCTAAAACTACAAAAATCTTAGAAGAAATATAGGTAAATCTTTATTTGATTTAGGCAATCCCTTGGATTAGGCAATGGTTTCTCAGATACAACACCAACAGCACAAGCAACAGAAGAAAAAACAGATAAAATGGACTTCAAAAGTTAAAACTTTTTGTTCCACAAATGATACCATGAAGAAAGTAAAAAGACAACCTATAGAATAGGGGAAACTGTTTGACGAGAGACTTATACCTAGAACATATGAAGAACTCTTATAATTCAACAATAAAAAATATAAACAGCTTAAAAATGGGCAAGGATTTGAATAGATATCTCTCTAAAGAATGTATACAAATGGCCAATAAGCACATGAAAAGATGCTCAACATTATTAGCCATTGGGAAAATGCAAATCAAAACCCAATGAGATACCACTTCATATTTGCCAGGATGGCTATACTAAAAAGGACAGACCATAGCAAGTATTGGTGAGCATGTGGAGAAACTGGAATCCTAATACATTTCTGGTGGGAATGAAAAATGGTACAGTCACTTTGGAAAACATTTTGGCAGTTCCTCAAACTGTTAAATATAGAACTGACATATGACCCAGCAATTCCACCCCTAGGTATATTCCCCCAAAAGTGTATGTCTACTCAAAAACATGTACATGGACGATCATAGCAGCATTATTCATAACAGCCAAAAAATGAAAACAACCCAAATGTCCATCACCTGATAAATGGATAAAGAAAATGTGGTATATTCATGCAATGGAATATTATTTGGCCATAAAAAAGAATGAAGTAGCGATACATAGTACATACCACAACATGGAAGAACTTTGAAAACATTGTGCTAAGTGAAAGAAGTCACAAAAGNTACATACCACAACATGGAAGAACTTTGAAAACATTGTGCTAAGTGAAAGAAGTCACAAAAGACTACACATTGTGTGATTCCATTTATATGCAATGTCCAGAATGGGCAAATCTCTAGAGACAGAAAGTAGACTAGTGGTTGACTAAGTCATGGGAGGGAATGGGTGCGGGTGAGCGGCTAATAGGTACAAGGTTCCTTTCTGGGGTGATAAAATTTTTCTAAAATTAGATTGTGGTGATAGTTGTGCAACTCTGTGAATATACTAACCACCACCAAATTGTATACTTTACACAGTGTTATTTAATGGTATGTTAATTATATCTTAATAAAGCTTTTTAAAAAAATCACTTCCATTCATACAGTCAACTACAAAGGTACAGCATTCTCTTCACTCATTTCTACACTTCCTTTAGGCCGATTATGTGGTCCCTGTCGAAGATAATGATGAAAACTACATTCATCCCACAGAAAGCAGTTCACTCCCATCGGAAAAAGGTATGAGTCTGCAGTTTTAAGCACCTGAAAACTCCTAGCAGTTGATCGGGACATCCATGACTATTTGGTATTGTGCACTAGGGGCTCACACATAACAGTGCCCAGGACTCTCTCCTCTGTGGCCACAGCATCGGCTTCTCTGGCTGGTCGAGCCCAGAGCATCAGTGAGAGACCCATCCCTGCTTCTCACAGCCCTTCCCCTCCTACTTCCTCTTCTGTGATTTAATTCTACTGTCTGAAATGACAAAAGTCCCTGGGATCTTAACTGCAGCTGCCCTTGCTTAGAATTAATTTCTCATAAAACCTCAAACAGTAGTCCCCCTTTATCCATGGTTTAATTTTCTGCAGTTTCAGTTACCTGCAGTCAACCACAGTCTGAAATTATTAAATGGAAAGTTCTAGAAATAAATAATTCATAAGTTTTCAATTGTATGCCATTCTGAATAGCTTGATGAAATCGTGTGCTGTCCTGCTTCATCACACCCAGGACGTGAATCATCCCTTTGTCCAGCGTATCCATGCTGTTCAGTATGTATGCACAGGAAAAAACATCCTGTACACAGGGTTTGGTACTATCCACGGTTGCAGGCATCCAGTGGAGGATCTTGCAACGTATCCTTCACAGATAAGGGGTGCTACTGTACTCAGAAAGTCATAAGCCAGTATGTTGGTCTCACAGATATTGCACCAGGAACAAGTTCTTGCAGAGGACTGAAAAAATAAAAGAGTAAAGTATGCTCTGCATCCTGGTTCTTAAAATTTAGTGGTATCTGAGGCCTATGAGAAACATTTTGTTTGTAAACCCTTCATGGGATAACAAATGCTATTACAAATGAATTATCTAAAAAAGGCAGTGCCACATACTGCCAGATCATGCATGGAAACAGTA